AATGAATCAGAGACTTGGGACTCTTTTTCCTCATTAGATGCTGGCTCCTCTTTAGTATCGATCTTGGTAGAAGAATCAAAAGTTTGATTTTTTGAATTATTATCCCAAATCACTGTTGTATAAAGGCTTGATAAAATATTATCCTTGATTGGCTTAGTAAAGGTTGGAATAATATAAGATTTTCCACGAACTATCATTCGAAATTCATGTTTGTTTATATCTAGAATTCCTTGAACTTTTCGAATCCATGGTGTTCCTAAACAAAGAAGGTAATCAGGTTTTCCATCATCAATAACAACAACATGTCCTGTTTCAGTAACCTATTTATTTTTATATTTTATAGATATTGGTACATCCTTATGTCCTCCTTCTAATTTCGTTATATGATCAGAATTATGTCTAAGGGAAAAATTTGGTGCCATCCCAAGATTCCATCCTAATGCCTCATTTAGTGCTTTATTCATAACAAGACATCCCGATGCTGTATCGGCAAACCCATCTGGAATAATTATATCTTCAATTCTATACTGCATATATTCAAGTGATTCGGCCCATTTATTTTTTGTAGATGAGTCAGTAATTTTTTTTCGCATTGCTAGAGATAATAATTCTAATAACTGGTCATCCGATTCTGGAAAAAGGTTTGGCATAGTGACTTTTTCATTTTGTTTAGATTCTGTAACTAAAGATTTGCATGAAATTACTGATTTATTCTGTGATGTCTTACTTATTGTTGATGATATCTGTTTTTTTTTTCTAAATAGGATGGAGGGGGATGCCATTGATTATCTTCCTCATTATACCCACCTTCATCCTCCTCGCTATCATCTGAATTAGGAGGTGTGTATTGGGGATATATTGGCTTGAGAGATGTAAAATATGATCGGGTATAATTAGATTGGACCGTAGGTTGATTGGGGCATTTGCCTTTGCTATGTCCTGTTTCTCCACAAATTCCACATTTCTTTATATACACTTTTTTCTGTAATTGGTCTGCTAACTGATTTATAGTATCTCGAGTTTCATTAAGCCCTTCTTCTATTCTATCCATTCTGACAGATTGGTTGGATTTTTGTAGTGTTTTATATAAGGCTTTTGCTTGCTCGAGGTATTTAAGGTAATCTGGATCTTGGGTAAGTAAATCCATATTATTACCTTCTTGATCTACTATGTAAAATGCTTGCCAAGCTTTTTCTGATTTTATAGGGTAAAACTTGGGTGGGGGTTGAAAATTTCCTACTGTTGCAACTTGTGGTTGTTGTGCTTGAAGTTCAGCCTTTAATTTTTCTATCTCAGCTTTAGATTCAGCTCACTGTTTTGCAAATGCATCTTGAATCATTTTTTGCATATCAGCCATGGAGAATGCCGGTTGTTGAGGTATAACATCTGGAATAGCAGGAGCAATAGGTGCATAGCGAGGTTGAGATAGTGCCTGTTGTAATATTCCATGACATAATTCAAGTTCTTCCAAACTATCAATAATATTGTTAATGGGTTTTGTTTGACCAATTCTATAAATTTCATCTCTAATATCAGGTCTAACTCCAGATAAGAAATGGGTTTTTTTCTGTGCTGGAGTATAACCGAGTTGATCGCCATATTTCTGAATTTTTGTCCAGAATGAAGGTACACTCTCATATACGCCTTGTCTTAATGCTCCAATTTCTAACATCTTTATATATTTATTAGCAGTTGGATAATGTTTTTTTATCCACCAAAGCCTTTGTCCAGATCGAATTCCTGCTAGAATAATAGGAACACCTCCTCCAGCATTTGGTGCAACTGGTACTGCATTAGTTGGGCATCCTCTTGCTATTGTCCAATCTTCAGCAACATTTCGAGCAGGGATAATTTGTGCACCTGTAAGTCCAAGTGGAACATTTGGGAAAAAAGCGATTGCACCCGTTATACCTCCTGCATTAGCACCACGAATATGTGCTATTGTTGCACCTATATCAGAGTTATCAAGTACATTTTCTAACTCCCAATTTTTATTGTTAAATTCTCTATGATACCATTCTCTCGCTTCTCCTTTTAAGGATCGATCTAATATAGTGAGAATATTTGCATCATTATTTACTCCAGCCAAGGTAATATATGATATGAACCTATCTACGAAATCTTCATGATCTTCTTCACCACCATGGAATTCTGGTTGTGCAAATCCTATAGGTAATGCCATCAGTTGATTTTGCTGATTATTTACTAATGCAAAATTTTGTTGCTGCAAATTTAAAATATTCTGATTTTGATTCAGAATTATTTGGCATTCATCTTTAGTCTTATTCTTCCATTTTTTATACCGATCATATAGTCGATCTCGCCAAAATTCATCAAGAGCTCTTTCATTTCGACAGTTCTGTATTTGTATACGCTCATCCTTAGTTTTATTCTTCCATTTTATATATCTATTACATATTTGGTCTCGCCAATATTCATTAAATGCCTGTTCATTTTCTAATTGCTGCAATGCCTGATCTCGCTCCTGCTTATATATATCACAATTCCACTGTTCATTTACCAGATCTTGTTGCAGGTTAGCATATTTACGTCGAATTGATCTTGTTGATCTTTTAATTTGATTTGTTAAAATGGTTTTACATATTGTTGTATCATTTAGAGATCGGTCTATAGCATCGGCTAATTCAGCTATTGTTCCCATATTATCATCAGAATTATATAAGTCTGGAGAATTTTCATCAGAATCAGAATTAGATTCATTTTCATTAAAATTCCATGCCTGTGCATTTTGTAAAGCTTCTTGTGTATTTGTAAGTTCTAATCTATCTCGATATCTTAATAATGCTAAAGCAAAATTCTGACAAAGAAGATCAGTAATACGATTTTTTTGCTGGGTTATTTTGTTAATCCTATTTATTTGGTTAGTCCTTATTGTATTTATTTCTCGTTTAAGGCGTTCGTTTTCGTCTACTAATCTGGTTGTATAATCTTGTGCTTTAGGAGTATTGCCAGCTGATTTTGATATTTCATGAATTCTGGTTTTTAATTTTGTCTCTCGTTCATCGAATTCTGTTATTAATTTATCCTTATTAGTGATTTCTTTGTCTTTCTTTTTATTTTCTTCTTCAAGTTGGCGGACAATTTTTTTAAGTTTTGAGATTTCTTCTAACAATTCCTCTTTGTCTTGTCTAGAAAGTTCGATAGCATTATTTAGTTCTTCTTCAAGAAATCGAATTCTCTCTTCGCGTATACCAATAGCTCTTTCCAAGTTATATATGCATTTTTCAATATCTCTGTTTGATTGAGCCAATTGTGAGATTACCTCATGAAGCTCCTGATTAGTTTGTTGTAACTCATCCATTGTTTTTATTGACTATAATGCTGTCCACTCACAAGTTTGTGCCCAGATATATATTGTTAACTATTTTTTATTATACTATATAATCCCAACAATGAGAAAAATGAATTGGCAGGGAATGGAGAAACCTGTGATTTATATTGACCCACAGAAGGCCCATGATTTAGATAGAGAGATCGAATTGCAGAAACTATATTATAAGCCTGAAGGTTATTATCAGACTGCTGAAAAAATGCAGGATGCATGTAGAAGGGCTGGATATAATTTTTCATTAACTGTGATAAAGAATTGGCTAAATAAGCAAGCTATTTTTCAGATCCATAAGCCTCGTCCTAACTTTATTCAATATGCTTCTTTTAATGGAATACATGATTTAAATGAAGTACATCAATCCGATACTACCCCTATGCCCTATGATAAAATTGGCAATCGAATTTACAAGCACAGAGGAGTAATAAAAGATGTGGCAACTAGATTCCGTAAAAGTTATGCTTTAACTAATAAGTCATCAATATCATTAGCTAAAATGTTTACGAAAATTTATAGTGATCTGAATTGCCCCCTTACCTGGCCTAAAGTTTTAATTGTGGATAAAGGTACTAAATACTTAGGTGAGTGCAAAGATTTATTACTTAGCCGTGGTGTAAAAATTCAGTATGCTGTAACTAAGGAAGGTGTTGCTATTGCTGAGCCTGATCATCAAGAATTTGAAAAACATGCTTTTTATAGACAAGATGCTGTAGATTTTCGTTTACCATTAAGTGAGAGATGTAGAGCTTGGGTTAAAGGCCTTTGCATAAATGATGATACTTTTAATAATACTGTTACTAGATTAATACATATGACTCCTAATGAGGCTGTAAAAAGAGCATTAAAAGGTAAAAAAATATTTGCAGAGCCGGCAGTAAAACATAGAAGACCTGTTGGATTTGAAGAACCACGTTTGTCTTATAAAGATTTTGTTCGATATTTACTTAAACCTGGTGAATTAGAATATGGTCCACCTATAAGACGGATTACAGATAAAAATTGGTCTCCTCAGGTTTATCGGATTGAAAGTACTTTAATTCGTGAAGGTCAACCTGTTATGTATAAATTAGAAGGTGGACCAAAAAAAAAATTTGTTCGTGAGCAATTACAATTAATTAAGAAAGTTGAACTTCCTCCTACATGGGTGCTTAAATAATAATTTACTCATCTATAAGTATATCCTCAATAGCTTCTTCAATTTCTGTTTCAGTCATAAGCTGATCCTTTTTGGATAGCTCATAATAAAGATTATATAAATCTTCTATACTGGTAAGTAGTTCCTTTTTACCTTAATACCATTTTCTATATCTTGACATTCTTTTATTATATGCATCATTATTTGGGAAAAGTGTTATTGCTATATATTTTATATACTCATCTTGGTTATATTCACTAATAAGCTTACTATCTTTTCTATATCGAAGATGAAAGGCCTCTTTTATTATTTTGATTTGTGCTGATTCAATCATTTTCCATGTAATATCTTGCATCGTTAACTCTGAGCCCTGCTCATTTATTAAACTTGAACTATTGTCTGTCATACTTGGTTTATACTTACTCTATATTTTGTTTTATATAATATAAATTTATTCAATATGAGTTTTATTATTCCACCTTCTCATAATTTCATTACTCAAAGCTAGATTATTTTCGAACATGTGAGAAAAAAAGCAGTTATCTTCTAATGAGTTTTTTAACTTACTTATCTATTACCATAAACTAGTCTTCGTCAAATATATCTTCTATAATTTGAGATGCAATATCATCCTCATTTCGTGAGTCAACTTCTATTTTATTAATTTCAATAATTGATTTACTATTTTATCTGTTATTCGTTCACAATTTTGTATTTTTATAGTTTTTATACTTGTACATTTTTCTGGTATACTTAAGATAATTTTTGGCGCTATTCGATTACTTTCATAGATAAATATATGGTTTAGATTCTTGCACGTATCCAATGTTATCTTTAGTGAACTATTGTTAAGAAATCCCCAACCACAATCCTTAAATGATATAGTTATTATATATTGGCATATACTTGCAATGTCTTCTAATAGAAATTCATTCATATTAAAATAATTATCTATTCTTTCGAATTCTATCTGTTTTATATATTTTATCGCATTCGGTAATGGTTTCTTTTTTATTATTTCGACAAAATTTCTAATATTATATCTATATAATTTAATCCTTCTCCATATTAAATATGTTGCACATTCATTCCATCATTTGTTAACATATAAAACTGGAAACAATAATTCATTATTACCACATAATCTTTTATTTTGTGTTCATAAATGTTGAAATATTTCTATTATAATTTCATTCGGAAGATTTATATCAGACTTTTTTGATAGTTTCCTTTTTGCTGTCTGTGAAGCAGGATACTCTGTATCTAATATTGTATTCTGCTTTTTATCTTGTTGTATTTTCTCAAAATCTGGTAAACTATTTGTAGAATGAAGCTCATTTTCTTTGAAAATAATCAAATTTGGAATTTCTGGATATGACAGTTTCCATGTAATTGATATACAATTTTTTACTACACAAACTCCATTTTTCTCAAATTTCAGCTCACCCATTTCTATTCCTGTTTTAAGTTCTACTTTTCCAGCTATAATAAAGCCATCTGTATGTATACGTTTTACTTGATCTCCTAGTGGCTTCACAATTTCTGATATTCTTTTTCGTGCAGATGCTAATAAGAATGGTTTTATTCGTGGATGTAAACCATAATTTTGTCCATTTCTTTGCTCACATAATGCACCCCATAATGAAACTAATAATGCTTTACTAACTTTTCCTTCTATTCCACCTTCTTTTTTAATTTTGTATAATATATTACCCCATTCACCAAACATGTCTTTTCCTGTTATACGTACATTTCTTTCATAAATAAGCGCATTTGGTGATATATTCATTAATGTTACTTTCAATCCATTTTTTCGCGCACATTCTAAATCATAATGTGTGTAAATTCCATGTGGATTATAATGTAAATATCTCGTACATTGAAGACTTTTCTTTGGAGGATTTCCTTCTATTGTTGCTTTATAAATTCCATATGAAAATTTACTTCATTTTTCTGTAAAAGATGAGTTTATAGTATAAAACTTACCTGGTGCAATTGGCCATGATGCATCTTTTTTTATCATTTCAAATATATACATTGAATTTACATCGTATTGATTAGCTTCTCCTTCATATCTTTCTGCAAATATTAGAGCACCAGTTGTTGCTAAATCTATTCATGCACTTTCTTGTTCACTTATTTT